CTATTTTTTTTTATTTTCGCATTATTCTGATTGTATTTCTTTTTTTAATTTTGCATTAATCCAGTTTTCTTTTTTTCAATTTCCAACTTTCTCCTTCAGCTATACATCTTCTGAACTGCCACTTCTTGCTCATTCTCTGTTGTCCAATCTATTCAGTCCTAGGGTTTAGGGTTTAGGGTTTAGGGTTTGCACAGGCCTGGTTTTCGGGTTTTTTATGTGCCTTCGCTTGACATACATCTTTTGAACTGCCGCTTCGTGCCATTCTTGATTGTCCTCCAGGGCCGAGGGTCCAGGGTCTAGGGTTTAGGGTTTAGGGTTTAGGGTTTAGGGTTTGCGCAGGCCTCGTTTTCGGGGGTTTGCTCTCCGACGGCCGGCGGCTGTGGGGCCGGGCTCGGGCGGAAGCGGCAAACTACAAGTCGGCCTTTGGGGTGTCTATACCCCTGGGGGTTTTGGCGGAGAGGCTTTCTTTGTTTGTTCACTCCTTCACTCTTTACTGGCACTTGAGGCCTTTCGGGGTCACCTGCCTCCTTGGGGGTTTGCAGCCAAACCCTAAATCAGGGTTTCAGGAGCTCACGGGTTAGTCGCGCAGTTGGGCTTTGTTTCATCCCTTCACGCTTTGTTCGAGGGCTTTTGGAGCCGTTTGCGTCCTTGAGGGTTTGCTGCCAAACCCTAAATTAGGGTTTGGAGCCCCCGTGGGTTAGTCGCTCATTTGTGGTTTGTTTCATCCCTTTGCGCTTTATTGGATTATGGCGGTTTCCAGCCAAACCCTAATTTACGGTTTCAAACCCTCGCTGGTCAGCTCCCCATTTGTTGTTTTTTCTATTTTTTTACTTTTTATTGTTTATTTAATTGTTCAATTATTTATTGTATTATTTTATTTGTTCTATTTATTTATTTATTTTATTTACTCATTTATTTATTTATTTATTTATTTATTATTTTATTTATTTGAGAGAAAGGCATTTGGGACTGTTTGGGTGAAGTGGGAGGTTTGGCTCTACTGCCGCAGAAATATAAAAAGTAAAATAAATAAATAAAGAAATAAATTAAATTCATTAAATAAAATAAAATAAATAAATAAAATAAAGAAAATAAATAAATAAAAATAAATAACTATTTGTTAAAAAACTTGTTTAATTTGATTGAAATCTGGATTTGCTTAGGAGTACGAGGTCTTGCGGCTGCTGCAGCTGCGGCTTCAAAACCCTAAACCCTAAACCCCAATTTGTGGTTTGTAGAGTTTTGTTTGAATTGAGATATAGCTGCTGCTGCAGCACCAAAACTGTAGACCCTAATTTGGGTAGGGTTTTGCTTGAGACCTCGCTGCTGCTGCTGCAGCACCAAAACCCGACCCCGTCGCCCGTAAACCCTAAACCCTAATTTGTGGTTTGGAGGGTTTTGCGTGAACTGCGCTTCAGGAGAAATATACGCGATAGACCCCAGCGGCTGCTGCTGCAGGTTCTTTGCTGCTGCTGCTGGGCGGGAGCGGCCGGCAGCAAAAACGGAGCTGGAGAAGCTGAACTTGAAAGCAGCAGCAGCAGCAGCAGCAGCAGCAGACCTCGTGCGGCTGCTGCTGCAGCTCGGCGAAGACAGCCAAAAAGACACAAAAAAAGAAATCCAAGTTGCTGCTATTACTTCTCAAAATGGCAAAGTTAATTTCCACTTCTGGCAGCAGCAGCAAGTTGCTGCAGCAGTTGCTGCAGCGCAGCAAGCCATCCAGGCCATGGACAGCGACTAGGCCTCCTGCTGCTGCTGCTGCTGCTGCTGCTGCTGCTGTGGTGGTGGTGCTCTCCATCGAAGCAGCAACACACCAACTTTCAACGCCAAACCACTTCAGTGGACGCTCCTTACCTGGCCAGCTGGCTAGCTAGCTAGCTAGCCAGCTAGCTAGCTAGCTAGCTGGCTAGCTAGCTGGCTAGCTAGCTGGCTAGCTAGCTGGCTAGCTAGCCAGCTAGCTGGGTGGCTGATGGCTAGCGAACTAATCAGCTAGCTGGCTGATGGCTAGCCTGGTAGCTGCTAGCTAGCTAGCAAGCTCGCTGGTGGCTGCTAGCTAGCTAGCTAGCTGGCTAGCTGGTGGCCGCTAGCTAGCTAGCTAGCTAGCTAGCTAGCTAGCTAGCTAGCTACCACTAGCTAGCTGGCTAGTTGTTTTCTTCTGCAGATCAATTAATTAATGAATTAATTAAATTAAGTAATTTAATTAAATCTTTAATTAATTAATTAGTGATTTAATTAATTTAACTAATTTAATTAATTAATTGATTAATCGCAGATGTGGTTAATTAAGTGATCCTGCCTCATGAGACCAAAAATAAATAAATAAATGAATAAATAAATGAAGGGGAAGTTATTTATTTATTTTTATTTATTTATTTATTTTTATTTATTTATTTGTTCATTTATTTGTGAATTAAACAGCAGCAATGAAAAATAGAGAATAAATAATAAATAAATGAATAAATATTTATGAGGTTAGAGACAAGCAGTCTTGAAGCGTGACCAAACCCTAAACCCTAAACCCTCGTTTGCAAATCGCAAACCCCGCAGCCAAGGGTTTAGGGTTTAGGGTTTAGTTGTTTTTGTGAAAAACCGAATAACAGTTTAACTCGCAAATGTATCAGTAAGAGGGTTTTCTAGGGTTTAGCTTCTCTGTAAAGGCCCACAAGAATTAGGGTTTAGGGCTTAGGGTTTGCTGGCTACTAGAGTGAAGGGTTAACGGTCTAGGTTTTAGCTCAGGTCTAGGGTTTGAGGCTAGGGTTTAGGGTTTAGGGTTTAGGGTTTGACGTGGACAGACTACTTAGGCAATTGGAAGGAGCCAACAACCCCAAACCCTTAACTCTGGAGGAAGGGCTCTAAACCCTAAAGCCTCGTGGGCAAACCCTAAACCCTAATCGCGGTTTCGCATGGAGGCCTTCAAACTGAATGAGTGTTTAGAAAAGTAATAAAAAGATTTAAGGGTTTGGGAATTAGGGTTTTGAGTCTGTAGGCAAGCGGGGGAAGGCTTTTGCTTTCCTAAACCCTAAAAGCGCGGTTTGAGTTCGCGCCGTGAAAGGAGCTTGTTCTTTGAAAGAATCTGGACCTTCTTGATCAAATAAAAGTAAAAAAATGCATTTATTTATATTATTTTATTTTTCAATTTAAATTAATTTAATTGGATTTAATTGGGAGAAGAAGGAGTGGCGGGACGGTGGTCTGGTCTGTCTGTACACCTGGTACACCTGACAGCTTCCGCTGTACAGACCCGGTGAAGTTTGCGCCATTTCGCCATTTTTAGAGCTTTAAAGTCCAAATAAAAGCTCATTTTTGATTTAATTTTATTTTTTATTTCAAAACAAACGTTTAAATTTCCTTGTAAGTGCATTTTTCAAGCTTTTCCGGCGTGGCGCGGGAGCCGCCGGGGGCACGCGGCGGCTGCGGCGCTCGTCGGCTGCGGCTGCCTCTCGGGGATTTCAGCAAATAAATCTTCAAATTTTAATTTAGTTATAAGTAATTTACTTTTTACTTTATTGCTGTTGCTTTTAGTTTGTATTTTAGCCCCGCTGGAGACTAGAAGGCCCGCAGCAGCAGCAGCAGCCGCAGCAGCAGCAGCAGCAGCAGCAGCAAGAACAACAACAACAGCAGCAGAGACACGCAAAGACAGCCAAACAACGCACTCCAAGCCTTTCCCTGCTGCGCTGCAACAGTTGGATAAAGAAGCCCAGCCTGCGTTAGCTGAGCGCGCAGTATTAGGGTTTAGGGTTTAGGGTTTAGGGTTTAGGGTTTATTGCAAGGATGACTACTGGAGCAGGCAGCAGGGCAGCCGCTGCATGTACTAGAGTTCTAAATGCCAGCAGCAGATGGGGATTGCTCCCCTAGCTCAGCAACTGCTGCAGCAGCAGCTGCTGCTGCTGCAGCAGAGCTGCTGCAGCTGGAGCAGCAGCGGCTAGTTTGCCTGCAGCAAGCAGCACAAGATGAGGCCAAGGACTCGGGAGAGGAAGCAGAAGCAGCAGCAGCTGCTGCTGCTGCAGAAGCCTCGGAGCTGCTGCTGCTGCTGCAGCAGAAGGAGCAGCAGCTACTGCTGCAGTCACGTGAACTTGCGGTAAGAGCTGCTGCTGCTGCTGCTGCTGCTGTTGCTGCTGCTGTAGGATGCACATTTAAGCACGGAAATACGCCTATTTGCTGCTGTTGCTGCTGCGCTGCTGCTCGTATGAGAGCAACAGCAGTTGCTGCTGCTTTCCCTACCTGCTCTGCAACAGCAGCGGTTGCTGCTGCTGCTCATCTGCTGCTGCTGTTGCTGCTGCCGTTGTTGCTGCTGCTGCAGCAATTGCGGGAGGACTTTGAAGAGCTCAGTGATGACTATGAGCGGAGCCAGAGGGAGCACGAGCAGCAGCAGCAACTGCTGCAGCAGCAGCAACAACAGCAGCAGGAGCAGCAGGCTGCGCTGCAGCAACAACAGCAGCTCTTTGATGCCAAGCAGCGGGAGGCGCAGCAGCAGCTGCAGCAGCAGCTGCTGCTGCTGCATGCAGAGAAGAAGGATGTAGAGACGCTCAAGGCTGAAATGCAGCAGCAGCTGCTGCTGCTACAAAAGCAGCAGCAGCTGCAGCAGCAGGGTTTTCAAGAGCAGCAGCAGCAGCAGCAACAGCAACAGAGCCTGAAGAAGCAGTTGGAAGACAAGGAGCAGCAAATAGCAGCAAAAGAGAAGCAGTTGCAGCACCGGCAGCAGCAGCAGCAGCAGCAGCTAGAAGCACAGGAAGCCCGGCTGCTGCAGCTGCAGCAGCTGCTTCGCGAGCAGGAGCTGCTGCTGCAGGAGCAGGAGCAGCAGCAGCAGCAGCAGCAGCTCGAGCTGCTGCAGCAGCAAAGAGAACTAAAAGATAAATCAAATCAACAGAGACTAAAAGAAACAGAATTAGGCCAGGAAGCCAAGGAGACACTAACGAAGTTGCTGCTGCTGCTGCAGCAAGCCACGCGCTCCAGCCCAGAGCAGCAGCAGCAGCAGCAAACAGCAGGAGCAGCAGCAGCAGCAGGTAGCAATGCACCGCAGCAGCAGCAGCAAAAATACACGCAGTTGCTGCTACTGGCAGAGCAGCTGAGGCAGCAACGGGACGAAGCGCATGCGCGCAGCTGCCAGCAGCAGCAGCAGCAGCAGCAGCAGCTGCATCTGCAGCAGCAGCAACAAATTTTGGAAGAGGCACTAGCAGCAGCAAAGCAGCGAGAAGGGCTGCTGCAGCAGAAAGTGCAGCAGCTTGAGGAGGCGGTGCTGGAGGCCAGGCAGCAGCAGCAGCTGCTGCAGCAGCAGCAGCAGCAGCTGCATCAGCAAGAAAAGCAAAACCAGCAGCACATGAAGCTACGCAAGCAGCAGCTGCTGCAGCTAGTAAGAGGCCTTCGAGTTGACTTCGCTGCAGCAACAGAGCAGCAGCAGTTGCTGCAGCTGCAGCTGCAGCAGCAGCAGGAAGACCTCGTGCTTCGAATCCTAGAGCAGCAACAGCAGCAAAAGCAGCAGCAGCAGCAGCAAAAGCAGCAGCAGCAGGAGCTGCATGAAGGACTCAACAGGGCAGAGCAGCAGCTTGCAGAGATGCAGCAGCAACTGGAGGCAAAGGAAGGGAAGTTGCTGCTGCTGCAGCAGCAGCAACAGCAGCAACAGCAACAGCAACGGCAGCAGCAACAGCAACAGCAGCAACTCGACAGCGACTTCAGAAGCAAGCAGCAGCAATGTGCAGAATTAGAAAGGCAGCTCAGAGCAATGGAGCAGCAGCTGGTGCAGCAGCAGCAGCAGCGGCAGCAACAGCAACAGCAACAGCAACAGCAACAGCAGCAGCAATTAGAGCTACTGCAAGAACTACAGGAAGAACTCACTGGAAGCAAAGAACAGCAGGAGCTGCTGCAGCAGCAACTAAAAGACAAGGCGGCAGAGCTGCAACAGCAGCAGCAACAGCAGCAACAGCAGCAGCAACAGCAGCAGCAGCAGCAACGCAAACTTGAAGCGGCGCTGTCAGAGCTAGAGCAGCAGCGTGATGCACTTAAACAGCAGCTATTGGAGCAGCAGCAGCAGCGAAAGGAGCAGCAGCAATTACGGGAGATGCAGCGGCAGCAGCAGCAACAGCACCAGCAGCAGCAGCAGCAACAGCAGCACCAGCTGAAGGAAAAGCTTGAGAAGAGTGAGCAGCAACGGAAGCTGCTGCAGCAGCAGCTCGAAGCTCAAGTCGTGGAGTTGCAGCAGCAACAGCACCAGCAACAGCAGCAGCAGCAACAGCAGCACCAGCTGAAGGAAAAGCTTGAGAAGAGCGAGCAGCAGCGGAAGCTGCTGCAGCAGCAGCTCGAAGCTCAAGTCGTAGAGTTGCAGCAGCAACAGCAACAGCAACAGCAGCAGCAGCAACTGCAGCAGCAAATCGAAGGGCAGCTCCGCAAAACAGTAGACTCCTGCAAGCAGCTGCAGGCAGCACTATCGGAGAAGCAGCAGCAACAGCAGCAGCAACAGCAGCAGCAGCAACAGCAGCAGCAGCAACAGCAGCAGCTGGAAGCGCAGCTGCTAGCCATGACGCAGCTCTGCGATCAGCTGAAGCAGGTGGAGAAGGAGCAGCAGCAGCTGCTGCTGCAGCAGCAGCACGAGATGAAGCAGCAGCAGCAAGAGCAGCAGCAGAAGCACCTGCTACTGCAGCAGCAGCTGCAAGACCTGCAGGATAAGCTGACGCAGCAAACGCACATCAACCAAGCGCTGCAGCAGCAGCTTGAAAAGCGGCAGCAACAGCAGCAACTGCAGCAGCAGCTGCAGCAAGAGCTGCAGCAGAAACTGCAAGAACAGCAGCAGCAGCAAGAGCAGCAGAAGGAAGAACTGCGCAAAAGCTCGCAACTGCAGCAGCAGCTGCAGCAGGAGCTCGTGGACAAAGGGGCGCAACTGAAGCAGCGCGAGCAGCAGCAGCAGCAGCATTTGCAGCAGAAGCAGCAGCTGCAGCTGCTGCTGCAGCGGCTGGAGGAAGAACTGCTGCAGTGCACAGATCAGCGAGAAGAGCTGCAGCAGCGGCTTGATGAGGAGAGCAGCAAACTGAAAGGGCAGCAGCAGCAGCAGCAGCAGCAGGACGACGTTCTGCAGCAGCAAATTCAGCTGCTGCAGCAGCAACTACTGGAGGCCAAGCGGGAGGTCAAGGTGCTGCAGCAGCAACAGCAGCAGCAACAGCAGCAGCAGCAGTCGGTCCCATCAGGGCTGCTGCACGAGCATAAGTCTCTGCAGCATCACTGCAGCAAATTGAAGCAGCAAGCAGAGGAGCAGCAGCAGCTGCTGCAGCAACAAGCTGCTGCTGCAGCGAAAGCAGCAGCAGCGCGCTGCTGCTGCACTGCTGCTGCTGCAGCTAGGAATAGCTGCAGCACGGATTCAATGCCCATAGCATTAGTCTCTTCTCCGGCTTGCTGCAGCAGCAGGACCCAGCAGCAGCAGCAGCAGCAGCAGCAGCAGCGTCAGCTGCTGCTACAGCAACAAAGGCGTGGAAGTAGCGGCAGCTGCTGCTGCTGCTCTTTCAAAAGAGCAGCGGCAGGGCATTCCCGCTGCAGTGCCGTGGGAAATAGCAGCAGCAGCAACAGCAGCAGCAACAGCAGCAGCAGCAACAGCTGCAGCAACAGCAACAGCAGCAGCAGCGCTGGCGAGTGGCTACTCGTGTCTTACGGGCAAGAACTGGAGGAGGAGGAGCAGCAGCAGCAGAGCAGCAGCAGCAGCAGCAACAGCAGTAGCAGCAGCAGAGTGCCTGCTCGGAGCCTCAGCAGCCTTTGGTTTGTCGAATAATTTAAAAATAAGTGTTTGATTTAATTGCAGCAGCAGCAGCAGCAGCAGCAGCAGGGTGCCTGCTCGCCGCCTCTGCAGCCTCCTAAACCCTAAACCCTAAACCCTAAACCCTGAACATTTGTTATTTTTATTTAAGACAATTTGTCTCTTTTTTCTGGCCTTCTAAACATCAAACCCTTCCCGGTGTTCCCGCGGCGGAATTCTTTTGCTCTAGGGTTTAGGGTTTAGGGTTTAGGGTTTAGGGTTTAGGGTTTGGGGTTTCTAAGCTCGCCGAGACTAACTCCTGCGAATGGCAACATCTAAATTAAAAAATAAAATTAGCAAATAAATAAAATAAATAAATAAAATAAATAAATTGATAAAATAAATAAAAAATAAATCAAAAAATAAATAAATAAATTGAATAAATAAATAGATGAAAAGAAAAAAATGAATAAAAATAGAAAAGGAGATAAAAAGAAAAAAGAAATAAATCCAAAATTGGATTTTAAAAATAAAATTAAAAATAAATACATTTAAAAATAATAAAAGAGAATAAGACAGCAGCAAGAAAAGTCGCTGCTGCAGCAGCGCTGCCAAACCCTAAACCCTAAACCCTAAACCCTAGTTTCTCATCCCTACGGGCATTTTTTCAAGAAGCGCAGTGGACAAAAAGCTCTCGAAATATACTAAGTTGTTACTCAGCAAAACGCTAAACCCTAAACCCTAAACCCTAAACCCCGCACGCTATTTGAGGTGTACGTACACCCCAGCGGTGCAGAAGTTGATTTTAAAAATTTCGTTTTTCAGAAAAGTTTTTTTGGACTTTTTGTCCATTAAAAAGCATTAAAAAGAATACGCTTCGACTTATAAAAACAAAGGAACTGCTGCTGCTGCTGCTGCTGCTGCTGCTGCTGCAGCTGCTGTTTGGTCGGCTGTAGCAGCAGCAGCAGCAGCAGCGACCTGGCACCAGCAACAGCAGCATTGCAGCTAAAAGCCACGCAAGAGTGAGCCCTCGCAACATGTTAAAAAGCGGTTGCTGCTGCTGCTGTTGCTGCTGTTGCTGCTGTTGCTGCTGTTGCTGCTGTTTCTGCTGTTACTGCTGTTGCTGCTGCTGCTGCTGCTGCTGCTTTTCATTGTTCCCCACTTCCTCGCCCCTGGAGCTCAAGCGCCCCATAACACCCCTACAGCAGCAGCAGCAGCAGCAGCTTCTGCTGCTGCTGGCACTGCAACTCATGCTTCTGCTGCTGCTGCTGCTGCTTGGTCAGAGGTCAGCGTTGTCTTTGCTGCTGCAGTCCGTCTTTGCTTCCAAGTTGATGCTTCTGCATGCAGCGTGCTGCAGCAAAAACTTTTCTCCATATTCTAAAGTGTCTTTTGCTGCATGCGAGAAAGTGAAGATCTTTTTGCTGCTGAGGCCCATCCCCACGCCCCAGCTGCTGCTGCTGCTGCTGCTGCTGCTGCTGCTGCTGCTGGCGGCTGCTGCTGCTGCCTCTGCAGCATCGCGAGACGCCTCGTCAGCTGCAGCAGCTGAACTAAACCCTAAATTAGGGTTTGGGGACCGCACCACAAATATCACGTGCGGAACGCGCTCTACGCGAAGACCCGGAAGAGGCACGTCTGAAGTGCAAACCCTAAACCCTAAACCCTAGACCCTAAACCCCAAAACCTAAACCCCAAACCCTAAACCGTAAACCCTGAAATCTACAAGACGGATGTAAGAGAAGGGGAGCCTCCTCCCTGGCCCTCGCAGCAGGCACTCAAAAAACCCTTAAACCCTAAACCCCAAGCCCTAAACCCTAAACCCTAAACCCTAAACCCTAAACCCTACCGTTTCTGGAAACATCTATTTTGAAAAAGGCAATTGAAGAAATGCCTTCAAATCTTTTCGCCAGTTGATAAAACTTTTCTTGAAATCGCCGGCAGTGGCCGCACCTAAATAAATAAATAAATAAATAAATAAATAAATAAATAAATAAATAATGAATAAGTAAATAAATAAATTAATAGATAAATAGTTGATTAACTTGTTAATTGGGAGTTGTTGTAGATGAATTTGGGGCTTAAGGTTTAGTATTTGGTTTTTAGGGTTTAGGGTTTAGGGTTTAGGGTTTAGGGTTTAGGGTTTGGGCTTACCAGTTGGCGTAGAGGAGAACTAGTGCATCATATTTATTTTGATTTAAAATCATTTTTGAAAAGTTGAGAGCCACGAGGGTTTGCACAGGCCCTAAACCCTTAAACCCCAAACCCTCGAGCCCTAAACCCTTATACCCTAAACCCTCGCTCGCCAGACCCTCCTTTGCTGCTGCTGCTACTAAACCCTCGCTCCGCAGCAGCGGCGGCAGCAAACCTGCAGCAGCTCACACAGCAGCAGCTGCTGCTGCTGTTATTTAATTCCTTTATTTAAATTCAAAGGCACCTATTCTTATACATGCAGCAGCAGCAAGCAGTAGAACTTGCTGCTGCTGCTGCTGCTGCTGCTGCTACTAGTGCTTTTACTGTCCTTGCTGCTGCTGCTGCTGCTGCTGCTACCACTGCTGCTGCTACCACTGCTGCACTGCTGCTGCTGCTGCTGCCACCCCTGCTGCTGCTGCTGCTGCTGCTGCTGCTGCTGCTGCTGCTGACCCTTTCGGTAGTTGTGCAGGAAGTGCCGCATTTGCGGGAAGCTGAAGAGGTCTTCTTTTGCTGCAGCAAACTTCTGCCAGCCGCAATCCAGGCGAACTATAATTGCTGCTGGCAGCAGCAGCTCGAGGCCTTCGGGCAAAAAGAAAGAAAGCCGGTGCATGTCTTGGCGCGCCACAGTCACAAACAGCAGCAGCTGCTGCTGCTGCTGCTGCTGCTGCGGCTGCTGCTGGTGGTCCTGCTGGTGCTGCTGCTGGTGCTGGCGGCTTGCTTCCACAGCGAGCCGCTGGAATACCGCTAGGGGGTCCTCCAGCTGCTGCTGCGGCTGCTGCTGCTGCTGCACTGCAGCAGCAGCAGCAGCAGCAGCAGCTGGATCTGGGTCATAGAAAAGGAAGAACACCTCTCTTGCTGCTGATTCCCGCAGCAGCCGAATGGTGCTCTCATTCCACTGCAGCACAACTCCCCCTTGTGCTGCTGCTGCTGCTGCTGCTTTGTAGAACCGTTGCGACTTTCGAAAGCTTGCTGCTGCTGCTGCTTCTGTTGCTGCTGCTGCTGCTGCTGGGGGCCCCTCTGGAAGCTCCCCTGCTGCTGCTTTCGAGCTGCTGCGGGGGCCCCCCAAAGATAAGCTGTCGGTCAGAAAGGGGGATACGGGGCTGCTGCTGCTGCTGCTGCTTCTGCTGCTGTGCAGCAGCAGCAGCAGCAGCAACGTTGCTGCTACTAGCAGCAAAACGAGACACAGGAACAGCAGCAGCCGAAGGAAGAGCCGACGCCGTCTTGCAAAAAGAGACAAATTAAAAGCCCCCGAGGGTTTGGAGGGCTTCGGGAGCGGCGCCAACATATTCAGCTGCTTAGGGTTTAGGGTTTAGGGTTTAGGGTTTAGGGTTTAGGGTTTAGGGTTTGGCTCATGCTGCAGCAGCAGCAAAATAAACGAAATTGCTCACGCTGTAAGAAAGGGAGTTTCTATGTTTCTCCTTCCACATCCATTTAAATCTTTCTTTCAAACTAAAAAATAAATTTATTTAAATAAAAACTTATTATTTTCAATAATTATTTGCAGCTCTTTTGCTGGTTTTGCTGCTAAAAAGAGCAGCAGCAGCAGCAGCAGCGGCAGCGGCAGCAGCAGCAGGGTACTGCAGACTGCAGGGGCTCCGGCGTGTGTAGCTGCTTCAGAGGCATTAAAAGGAATGAAAAAAGAAATTAAAAAAAGAAGAATAAAATAGTATTTCAAAAAAAAGTAAAATCGAAGAAAATTGAAAATTGTGCGCGCAATTGGGGTGTCTATACAGCTGCTCCGTCTCGCTCTCCCAGGTGACCCGGCCACTTCTCTTTTCTTTATTTTTAGTTTTTAAACTTAAAATTAAATTAAAATAATATTTATTTGATTCAAAATAAGCATTTTAACACCTCAGATAGGGGCTTTTCTCCAGGGATAACGGGATGGTAGCACGTGCCCGACTTTTTCAGGGTTTAGCGTTTAGCGATTAGGGTTTAGGGTTTAGGGTTTAGGGCTCTGGAAGACACTAGAAGATGAAATAAGGGTTTTTTCTTTTTAATAAAAGCAAATGTTTGCGAAGGCTTTCTTTTGGCTTTATTTGCTGCAAATTTATGGGAGCTTTGTTTAAGTGTTCGGGTGTACATACACCGCATGCACGTAGCGTCTATACACCATTAATTAGTGTCTAATTGTTCACTCTTTGGCCACAAATAAGCAAATAAACTCTTATTGAGAATAAATGAACTAAATTAACTTTTGTTAAAAGATAAAGCAACTAAATATTTGCACAAATTGTCTTTTAAATGCCACTCGGGTATCTGTACACCTGCATGCAATAACTTAAAAAGTTGATTTTAAACATAAATGAAACTTTCATTTAAATAAGCAGAATATGAAAGTTTGATAAGTCAATAGAGACACACATTAGCATTTTAACAAGATATAAATATATACATGAAATGTTAATGTTAATGAAATATAAATATGTATATATGTATATCTGTATATATGTATATATATAAGATATCAATTAAATATAAATACATGTACAAATATATATACGAAAGTATACTAATAAGATACATTTATATTCATTTATATATATGTATATATATATTCAGCATTTTAATGAGATATATGTATTTATATATGCAACTAATATTAATAAGACTTCTATATAAATATACACATATATATATATCTATATACTAATTTCACTTATAAGTACATAAGTATATAAAAAGTGTACATATATATATATATATATACATATATATATATATAGATGTATATGGATATATATACAGATATATATAATATATATATTTATACAACTATCAATATATATAAATATAAATATATGTATATGTATATATATATGTATATGTACGTATATATATGCATATATATAAACATCTGTATATATATATATATATAAGTGTATTAGTTAAGAAGTATAAAGCTGTATATATATAACATAAATATATTTATGTACATAACGCATATATAAACACATATATATATTTTTATATATATATACATATATATAATACATACTTATTTATATGTATATACATATATATCTATATATATATAAATAACATATTTGTATGTATATAAAGTATACCTATATATATAAATAACACATATGTATATATATATAGAATATGTATATACATATATATAATATACATATACACATATAGACATATACCATATATATAAAATATATATACATATTCTATATATATATATACATATACATATATACATGTATAGCATATATATAAAACATATTTACATATTCCATATATATATATATATTTACATATATATTTGTATACAACATATATATAATATATATTTATATATATACATGTATAAACGCATGCATGTAAGGATATTGATTTGAAATGCGGAAGTAAAGATTAATAAACAATAAAGTATATATAAATATTAAAAGTATAGAATTATATTATTAAAATATATAATAAGACATGTACAATAGTTTGTTGAATTAAAATAAAAAGGATGGTTTAATTACTAATTTAAATACAAGAATAAAAATAAAAGATTTAATTCAAAGAATTAAAAAATAAATGATAAGTGCGTTTTAGTTCTTTTTAGAAATTAGGGTTTAGGGTTTAGGGTTTAGGGTTTTCTATGTTTTGCAATTTTGTCAACTTCATCTTTTTGTAAATAATTCATTTATTAATAATTCATTATTTCTAGTTGCAATTTTAATTTCAATTTTTAGTTTTATTTAATTCATTAAAAGATATAAATCTTCAATTTTCTAAATTAAATTCAATTTGAAACTTAAATTAATTTTGTCTTTTTAACTTTTCCAAAATTCCCCTTTTTGCTTATTTCATATTCCCAAATTTTTTTAATTTTTTAATTTTCGGTTGGAGTTTCAGTTTCAAAGAATGCCAAAATGTGATTTTAATTTTATGAGTAGTTTAATTTGATTTAATTAATTTAATTTAATTTAATTAATTTAATTAATCGAATTTAATTTAATTTAATTTAATTTAATTTTTCAAATTTTGACATTTTTTTGGAACTCTCCTGTTTGTACAAAAGAGCGGAAATGAAATTTTTCTGTTTTGTGTCCCTAATTTGCATTTACAAACATCTAAAATGAAGAAAATAAATAAATAAATCAATAAATAAATGAATAAATAAATAAATATATAAAATAAATCGGTAAGTAAATATGAATTTGTGCATGCATGCATTTGAGGAAGGGAATGAATTTGAAAACAGCACTTTCCACAATTAACACTTTTAATATTTCATCAAGGGTTTATCTGAAGAGGAATATCAGCCAATTAGGGTTTAGAGTTTAGGGTTTAGGGTTTAGGGTTTCGAGGCTACAGGTACAGGCGGCTGCGGCGCGGTGGGGCCTCATCGATCCTCAAAGGAGTTCCGAAAACGGAGAACAAAAAAGAAATAAAGTTTTTAAAATTTGAATTAAATGAAATGAATTTAATTTCGATAAAAACTAAATACAAAAAAGACGCAAAACACTCCGAGGCGCTGCAGCATCCCACGGCAAGTACGAGCGGCGGATCAGCAAAGGGCCTCTTGCTGTTCTAATTTTTCCATTTTAAAAGTAAATAAGAGAAGATAATAACAAATTAAATTGTATTTTAAAATTGAAAAAGGAGATTTTTCATTTAAATGTCGACTTGCAACGGAAGCTGCATTCCGCGCCGATTGCCGCGGCTGCCGACGCAGCTGAGGGCGCGCCTGAAACTTGATTTCCAGAAATGAGACAATCGCGAAAAATAAACAAGACGAAACAATTCAAAATAAATTTAAAGTTTGAAATCTTTTTCTTTTTTAGTTTTGGAGGAACTTCCGCTCGCTGAAGAGCGCGCCCGCGACTGCTGTACACCTGGAAGCGTGTGCGCGCAGCCGCGAGTTCCAGAAGCTGATCCTCCATTTCATTTCCGTTTTTCGCAGTTTTTTGTTCACAGTCATTTGGCATTTACATTTATCTACTTGTGCTGCCCTGGATCGCGGCTTTAGCCCCGCGGGGGGGCCGGTGGGGCGCAGTTCAACTTTTTTCCGATCACGCCCAACACAGCGCCGTTTTCGATTTTTTTTCACCCCAGTTTCCCCCATTTACTCTTTTCCTTCATTTGCCTCCGCGGCGTCCCGCCAGCGGCTCGGATTGCGCGCGCCGCGATGGCCCGAGTCGCTCGGACGGCGGCGGTGGCTACTGCAGCAGCAGCAGCAGGCGCAGCAGGCGCAGCAGCACGCGCAGCAGAAGGACGCAGCTTCCCGCAGTCCCCAGAGCCCATCGAACTCGGCACTGTGTCTTGGGACTTTTACGGAAATACCCTCCAGAGGGGCCCCCGGGGGGGCCTCCGCAGCACCACTGCAGCATTTCTAGCGTGGCTGTCTTTGAGTGTTGCTGCTGGCTTTGTTGCTGGGGCCGTCACTGCGGAGAGCCTCATGCAGGCCCTCACTCTTCAACGGGAAGCAGCAGCAGCAGCAGCAGCAGCAGAACTCGGCTTTGCTGCAGCAGCAGACGACGAAGCAGCAGCAGACACTGACGACGAACTTGCCCCAGAAACGCACGACACTGCAGCAGCAGCAGCAGCAGATCTGGAATTCGCAGACGCAGAAGCAGAAGTTGCTGCAGCAGCCGAAATACACGCAGCAGCAGCAGCAGCAGCAGCAGACAGGGACCCCGAAGAAGAAACAGCAGCAGCAGATCTAGGCTTTGCAGAAGCAGACGTTGAAGATGCAGCAGCAACACATATAGGCGCTGCAGCAGCAGGACCAGACGCAGCAGCGGGAAGACGCGCTGCAGCTGCAGCAGAAGCAGAGAAAAAGGGTGCAGCAGCAGCAGCACTGGCAGCAAAAGAAGCAGCAGATGAAACGGCAAGTGATCGAAAGGCAGAAGCCAAAACAAAAGCGAAAGAAGCAGCAGCAGCAGCAACAGCAGCTGCAGCAGCAGCAGAAGCTGAAGCTAAACGCGCGAGAGACACAGCGGCAGAGGATAAAGCAGCAGCAGCAGCAGCAACGACAGCAGCCAACGCGGCAGCAGCAACAGGAGACCGAGCAGCAGCAAAAGCAGCAGCAGCAGCAGAAGTAGCAGAAACATCAGAAGCGACATCGCCATCTTCAGGATATTTTAAGATATCAACAATATCTCTAGCAGCAGCAGACGAAGCAGCAGCAGCAGCAGCAGCAGCAGCACCAAAGGAATCATCAGAAGCATCATCCCCATCACCAGGATATTTTAAAATATCAACAATATCTTTGGCAGCAGCAGATGAAGCAGCAGAAACAAAAGCAGCAGCAGCAGCAGCAGACAAAGCAGCAGAGCCACCATCAGGGTATTTTAGAAGATCGACAGTATCTCTAGCAGCAGCAGACGAAGCAGCAGAAGCAGCAGCAGCAGCAGCACCAGCAACAGGATATTTCAAAGTATCAACAATATCTCTAACAGAAGCAGATGAAGCAGCAGCAGCAGCAGCAGCAGCAAGAGCAGCAGATGGCACAGCAGAAGCAGCGGCGCCTGCCTCAGGAAATTATAAGATGTCAACAATGTCTCTAGCAGCAGCAGACGAAGCAGAAGAAGCAGCAGCAGCAGCAGCAAGGGCGGCAGCAGCAACAGCAGACAAAACTCCAGAAGCAGCGGAGCCAACATCAGGGTATTTTAGAAGATCAACAGTATCTCTAGCAGCAGCAGATGAAGCAGCAGCAGCAGCAGCAGCAGCAGAGCCAACATCAGGGTATTTTAGAAGATCAACAGTATCTCTAGCAGCAGCAGATGAAGCAGCAGCAGCAGCAGCAGGAGCAGCACCAGCAGAGCCATCATCAGGGTATTTTAGGAGGTCAACTGTATCTCTAGCAGCAGCAGATGAAGCAGCAGCAGCAGCAGCAGCAGCAGACGAAGCAGCAGCAGCACCAACCCCAATATCAGGATATTTTAAAAGATCAACGGTATCTCTAGCAGCAGCAGACGAAGCAGCAGCAGCAGCAGCAGCAGCGCAGGCCTCAGAATATTATAAGGTGTCAACAGTGTCATTATTTATAGAAGACGGAGCAGCAGATGGAGCAGCAGCAGCAGCAGCAGCAGCAGAAGCAAAAGCGAAAGGCTCCGCGGGTTATACCCTGGCAGCGCCCTGAAAATATTCATAAACAGACAATAAATATATAAATAAATAAATAAATAAATAAATAAATAATGAATAAATAAACTTAATGAATTGATTAAATTAATTAACTAAAATTGATTAATTAAACTAATTAATTAATTAATTAAATTGGATAATTAATTAATTAATTAATTAATTAATTATCTATTTCTTGACTCTACAGCGTTCAAATGGGGGCCCCTGGGGGGGGCCCCTAGGGGGCCCCTGGGGCCCCTTTGGGGCCCCCCTGGGGCCCCTTTGGGGGCCCCCCTGGGGGCCCCCTAGTTTGTAAAGTTGTTTCCTTTTTGGCCTCCGGTTGAGTTCGACAGGGGTCTAGAGGAGACAGGAGATTCAGCAGCAGCAGCAGCAGCAGTGGCTGCAGCAGTAGCAGCAGCAGCAGCAGTCGCTGCTGCTGCAGCTGCTGCTGTGGCTAAACTCAATAGGCAGCGGCTGCATGCGCTGCTGCATGCGCTGCAGCAGCAGCAATCTGAACTTTAAGACCTTTCAGGAACGAGGAGACGCGACGAGAGGAAGCTGCTGCAGCTTGCTGCAGCAGCAGCAGCAGCAGTGGTAACACAAGCAGCAACTGTCAGAAAATGCAGCAACGGCAGCAGCAGCAGTTGCCCGTCTTAGCTAGATCTGGCCAGCCCCTAGCTAGCTGGCTAGCTAGCCAGCTAGCTAGCAATCTACCTAGCCTTCTAGATAGCTAGCTAGCCAGCTAGCTAATTAGTTTTGGTTTCAGTTGGGGCTTGGCGGCGCAGCAGCAGCAGGGAGCAGCAGAAGTGAACAGCAGCTAAGTGCAGCAGCAAAAGCTGAAGTTGATTTTTTTGAAGAGTTTATTTAAAAATAGAATTAAAAGTTAATTTAAAATGGAAAAAGATTTATTTAAGCAGAAATGATATCGATTTGTTCCATTTCGAGTTTGCTGCTGCGGGGTGCAGCACGCGCGGTGTCTGTACACCCCGCGGTTGGGGTGTACAGACATCGCGTTTTCGATTTTGGGGAATTTCTGCTGCCAGAATTATCTTTTTGAATTAATTAAAAAGTAAAAAGAATGATTTTAATTATTAAATGAATAAATATGTTTTTAAATTCAAAAAAGCTCGTTTTCTTTTTCACAAATACGGGCACCGGGGATCGAACCCGGGATCTTCTGCGTGTTAGGCAGACGTCATAGCCACTAGACCATGCCCGCGGGGAACAGTCCCTTTTAGGGTTTAGGGTTTAGGGTTTAGGGTTAGGGTTTGGGGTTGTTGGTGCAGCGCCACTTGAGGGGCCGACGTTAGATGGAGCTGCTGTTTGAATTTGAAAGAATGCGAGGGGCGCAATGCTGCAAACCCCAAACCCTAAACCCTAAACCCTAGACTGTAAAACAATAAAGAATAAAAATTCGAAATGTTGCAAACCCTTGAGTTAAAGCCCTTTTATCTCTTTGAAGCTTCCCTTAACACTTCAAAGAAGTGGGGCCCAACGAGGGCCTTGGAAAAAGCCCCAAAGTCCCTTTAGGGTTTAGGGTTTAGGGTTTAGGGCTTAGCACCCCCTAAGCTGCCATGTAAAAAGCTAGAGGCCTTTGAGGTGCCTCCAGAGATCCCTCAGAAAAAAATAAACAGCTAGCTAGCTAGCTAGCTAGCTAGCTAGCCAGGGAGTACAGCGAGTGTGCTAGCTGGCCAGCTAGCTGGCTAGCTAGCCAGCTAGCCAGCAAGATAGCTAGCTAGCATACTCCCTTGCTTGCCAAAAGAACAGCTAGCCAGCTAGCTAGCCAGATAGCTGTCCAGCTAGCTAGCCAGCTAGCAGCCTAGCTCGTCAGCTAGCTAGCTAGCTAGCTAGCTAGCTAGCTAGCTGGCAATCTAGCTCCTCAGCTAGCCAGCTAGCCAGCTAGCTACCCTGCTAGCTAGCTAGCTAGCTAGCTAGCTAGCAGGGTAGCTAGCTGTTTTGATTACTCTTCGGGAATCTCCAAAAGTCCCTCTTGATCCAGCAGCGCCGCGAGGCTGTAAAAATCTCTTTGCGAAGAAGTCAAAAAAAGAGTTGCATTATTTTTGGCGTCTCCAAAAGCGCTGTAGACTGCAAGCAGCAGCAGCAGCAGCAGCAGCAGCAGCAGCAGCAAAAAGATTTAAACGCGCGACGCCAGATAGGTCCAGGAGGCCGGTAGACCAGCAAGAGTGAGCAGCAGCAGCAGCAGGCGCAGCAGCAGCAGCGGCAGCACGAGGCCCACAGCAGTAGCAGCAGCAGGTGCAGCAGCAGCAGCAGCAGAGAAGGCACGAAAGCAGCAGCACCGCCAAAGTCGCAGGAGCAGCAGCAGCAAGCCCGCAACAACAGCAGCAGCAAAGCAGCAACCCCTTCTCAGCAGCAGCAGCAGCAGCAGCAGCAGCAGCAGCTGACGGGAGTTGAGCAGCAAACAGTGGTCTTTGTTTTCGAATTTGAAAAGCCAAGAAAGCATGGAAGGAATTGGAATGTCTTCTGCTGCTTTGAGAATAAACTTTTCAGTTTGCAGCACCGGCAGTCCATCGCTGGGGACTCTCATGATAACTTCGGAAGAAGCAGCAGCAGCAGGAGCAGGAGCAGCAGCAGCAGCAGCGGGGGCAGCGGCGGGAGCAGCAGCAGCAGCAGCAGCAGCAGCAGCCGCAGCTATGCGCCGGTTGACCCGCCGCTGCATCTGCTGCTCAAACAAACCCCCCAGCTCCACCAGCAGTTTGTCTTTGCTGCTCCAGGGGGTGGTTGCTGCAGCAGCAGCAGCAGCAGCAGCAGCAGCTTTCTTGGGCCTCCACTTGCAGGTCTCGTTGCCGCTTCCCCTGCCGCCCCTGCCCGCGCCCCTGCCGCCCCTGCTGCTGCTGCTGCTGCTGCTGCTGAGAAGGGGTTGCTGCTTTGCTGCTGCTGTTGTTGCGGGCTTGCTGCTGCTGCTCCTGCGACTTTGGCGGTGCTGCTGCTTTCGTGCCTTCTCTGCTGCTGCTGCTGCTGCACCTGCTGCTGCTACTGCTGTGGGCCTCGTGCTGCCGCTGCTGCT